AAAAAATTCAATATAAAAAGTTCTAGAAAAAATAAAACAAACAACACTTTATTATAATCTATAAATAAAACCACAAGTTCCAATTTGTAAAAAATAAAAACACACATGCATGCATTTGAAATTTAGACATTTGATTTGAAATGCATGATATCTTCAATTAACTTCAACATGTTGAGATAAGAAGATCCACCTTCTTCAGTTGCTTTCTTTCCCATATCAGCATACTTCTTAGCTCTTTCTCTCCTCTCATTTTTCCCTTCACCTTCCCCTATCACCATCTCTATAGCCTCTTTAACCTTTTCCCTACTCACTTGAACACCATCACCAAACTCATCTTCATCTCCAAAGTTGACAGCATTTTCCACTCCCAACCTCACACCAGTCTCAATCACTTGTACAACCAACTTCTCATTATAAAACTGATCAGAAAACATAGGAAATGTTACCAATGGTACACCAGCACAAATAGCTTCCAATGTTGAATTCCATCCACAATGTGTCAAAAAGGCTCCTATTGATCTATGTGACAATATCAAAACTTGTGGTGCCCAACCTCTAACCAAAACTCCTCTCCCTTTCACCCTCTCTTCAAATCCATCTTCTAATAGCCACTTTTCCACTTCATCCCATTTATATGATTCTCTCACCACCCAAATGAATGGTTTATTAGTAGCTTCTAACCCTAAACCAATTTCAATCCATTGTTTAGGTGTTACGCGATTAAGACTACCGAGACAGACATAAATCACTGATTCTCTAGGCCATGAATCAAGCCAACTCACGTACTCATTTGCATCAATTGTTAAATTTCTACCACCTCTTTGAGATTTCTCTATATCATCTTTATTCGATAACGAAACAGGTCCAACACACCATACCTTACGCCCGGTAACTCTTTGATACTCTTCCACGTAACCATCTTCCAGCTCTTGAAAACTATTCACCACTATCCCATATGCTTCATCTTCTGAATCATGTATTCTCTGACGCAAACGATTCAACAACTCGTTTGGACCGGGCCTGAATATCATAGGAAGCTGAGATTTTTTCATTGTGATTTGACGTGGCAATCCAGGGATAACAAATTGATCTGAGTAATTGAGATTTTCAGAAACCCTAGAAGAATGAATACTGTAATTGCAAAAGAGGTTCAAGCAGTTAGTACCATCAAATATTATTCTTGGAATTCTGAACTTGATAGCTGTATCAGCTAGAGATGGAATATGCTTATCAGCTATTAAGCAAGTTGGAAACGGTTCTAGCTTTTCAAAAACCTCTTCTATTGCCTTTTGCAAAAGATTTACAGCTATTAAGAAATTTCCTTTGAGATCCATTGAAGGAAGTGTTTCTAGGGTTTCACATCCCATTGGAATTCCAGCTTCTTCATTTGGAAATTTCACTTCTAGAAGCTGGATTGGTGAACCTGATTCAATTTCTCTATTGATGTTTGTTTTGAACTGAATTGCATTCAGGGGTGTGGTGATTATGGTCACCTTCACTTTATGCCTGGCCAGTAACTTGGCCATGTCAACCATAGGAAGAATGTGACCTGGTGCTAGGAAAGGGATGCATACAATATGGAGGTTGCTAATGCTAAGGGGTGATGTTGAATCCATTGTTAGTTTTTGTGTCATTTTAGGCTGTGAATTTCAATTTCTGATTTGAATCATTCATGCTATGCTTTGATATATACACAGGAAGAGTTTAGTATTGTAATATTATTTTAATTTAATATAAATTTATCTATTTCTAATATGGAAGGAAATAAGGAATATAGAAAATTAATTTATTTGATTTTAAATATTTTATACTCTAAATTATCATAATGTACTATTTTTTTTTTTGACTAAAACTTAATATCATATACATTGAATTCTGTAACTAAAAAAATATACATGCACTTTATGAAAATGCTAGAATGTTGTAGATGCCTATTTTCTTTAGTTTATTTTTGTTTTAATTAACGGCAAAGATAAACACGAAAATAAATACAAAAACCACCGAAGGCCTGCTGCTAGGGGATTATTGAAAAGGAAGCAAATTTCACAAAAAACAGTCACTCTGGTAGGCCACCAAGAATACCGCTTGAGACTAAATTTTTATTTTACATGGTTTTAATTAAATGATTTTTTTAAAATAAATTATTTTATAAATCGATTAAATAATAACACCTATTTAGAATATATAATAACAATAAATATGTAGTTTTTTATTTTATTAATTTAAAAATCACATAACAATTATGATAGGAAATTTGATATCTAAATATTCTTAAGATCAGTTATGATTTTTTAAATTATGAAAAGAGTGTTTAAATGATTTAATTTTATTATCAATCAAAACTAAAATATTAAATGAAATTGATTATAATAATTTAATTATTTTACATCTTAAAAGTCTAAAATATATTAATTGTTAAAAAAATTATTATATTAAAAAAATTTAATTTTTAATTTTGTCTCAAACTTCGAGATACATTGGATGGACCCTAAATCTACTAAGCACCGCCTTACTAAAGACCCAGCTAGAACTCAGAACTTCATATCTACAATCAACAAATCATATAAGTCGCAACACCACCAAAAGCACATAACACTGTTTTTGTGATGCTCGGATTTTGTACCTTTTATATTAAAAAAATTTCACAATTTAATAAATTTGAATTCATAATTATAAAAGTAATCTCTTAAATAAATATTACTATTAAGGAAAATCTCTTTAAACGGAAAGTTATTTTGAATTTAGGGGATGTCTCGTGTAATTTTTATTAATATTGGTTGGAATCTATTTCCTATTCATTTGTTTTCTGTAAATTCTCGTTTAGTGTTTGGTAAAGGGTGGTTAGGTGATTAGGTTTTCAGGTGGTTCTCTCTAGAGAGTTGGATAATCTTTTGAGTTTATTTATTTTTTAGGAGAGAATTCTAAGGTTAGGAGGGGTTTTATTATGATTTGATATGTTTTGATTTGGTCTATTTGGTTAGTGTGAAATGATAAGTTATTTGCTAGTTCGTCTTCAAATATGAAAGAGGTGGAGAATAAGAGTATCCAGTTGTCCTGGACTTTGTTTCTTAATAGGTCTAAAACAACCGGCTGAAAATCATCAAACAATGAAGTCGCCATCGAACGTCTTTTATCCCACATGAAGGGAAAGGTAAACATCGAGAAAACCTGAGAAGGGAGAAGTCACGGTCTTGCGACCGAGAGATCGGGTAAGGGAGTCTGTTACGCGAGGGGAAAGTATTAGCACCTCACACGACCGTAGTACTCTACGGTATCCACTCTTGTTGTCTATCTTATGGGTGTGTTTAATCTATGCTTACTGTTTACTATACTATTGAAGGAAGAATGCATGCAAAATAAAGGAGAAAAGAATGTAGGAAAAATAAAATTGTGCTCGCTTAGGCCCTACCCTAATGCCTACGTATCCTTTTTGAGGAATCAGAGCTACTGTAGTTCGGCTCTTATATTTTTGTTTGTTTGTTTTTTATGGACGAAGTTAATTCTGCCTTCTGCTGCAGCTCGACCTTTGGAGACTTATGTTGGCACATAAGTAAACTAATCATGTCCTTACCTGAAAAGGGTTTTAGAGAAAGGTGCTCGAGTGCACAAAATGATTTGAATTGGTTTGTGTTTTATTACATTGAAAAAGGGTTTAAGTGTTGTTAGCATGTTTTATGATTTGCTAAGAAGATAAGTTTTTGTTTTGAATGCAAGGATGCAAAGAGGGAAGAAAAGAGTCTAAGGGAGACTAGCCTATTTCTAACCTAATGTTATCATACAATGGTAGCCCTATGTCAAGGATGAAGGAAAGGGAAACGTCTACCTAATGTTAGCATGCATGGTTTACAATCTAAGGTCTAACTTGCGTCTGAACGGAGCAAGCGCATCCTAAGGGAACATGGTATGTACAGGGATAAAGCAAACAAGCCAGTACACTCAAGAGAGCACACCTAAAGAGATCCTATCTAAGTTAGCATGTCGAAGAAAGTCTAACAAAACTATCCTATAGGGAACATGCAATGAGAGCGAAGTCGTGATCTCAATTTCTAAATTGAGTGACTCATCGATCAATAAGAAATAAAGGAAAGCGATAAAATCCTATGGGAAGCATGCACTGAGAGCGAAGTCGTCATCTCAATTTCTAAATTGAGTGACTCATCGATCAACAAGAAAGTAAACAAACACAAGCATAACACATATAGCAAATGAAGTGCGGAATGCCTGCTACAGGTCTTTAAACAGCGACTTCGAGCGCACGCTCTTTATTTCCTACTTCTCATGATATCTAGAAAGCGGTAAAGTGCAGAAATGAGGAATAAAATAAAGTGGAGATGATCCCGAACGGAGAAAGTCTGTTGCCTCTTTAAAACCATGCAATCCATAAGAAAACTCTACCAAAAACTGCTCCGCGCGAGTGATCAAAGAATTAATCTCCAAGCATTCCATATTGTGAAAGTTACATCAACATTCTATCACAAAATCTTACCTAAAAAATGACAACGAAAATGATTATCGAACATGAAAAGAAATATTAGAAAATTCTAATAAAATTCTAAAGAGAAAACCTAGGAATTCTAAAATATTTCCTAAAACATTCTAACTATTTTTTAGGTTATTTTTCATGCAATAAAAATTAACAAAAGCCAATAAAATAAAATTGATGAAGAAAAATAAAAAATATAAATGTAAAGAGTTCACGGGGTGCTAAGATGGATTCAGGGGTGTAAAATAGTCAATTCTAGAGCAAGGCCCAACCATTTTCAGTCCACAATCAGTTTTTGTTCTATTGCAATTCAAGTCTCCAAAAATCTTGTGGCATGGGCTTGGATGGCTACAGTCTGATCCAACCTTTGTTCTATTTCAAAAAATTTCCTATTTCTTCTTATTAAAAAAAATTGATTAAATTAAAAGAATTCAAAGAGATAAGAGATTTTGCAAACGACATCGTATTGCCTTCGCCTAGGAATCCAATATCACACAACCATTCACCTTCTACGAGAATGCAAATGGAGCTCTCCTTCTCTCTCGCCTATCGACGGAATATTTTCCGAAGGCCATCGCCTCAGTGTTTGACTCCGTTTCAGTCTGATCCGCATCAGCGTCAATGGCTTCGAGAATCTATGTTCATCTCTTTCGTACCTTCCTTCTTCAATCTTCGTCTCAAATCGTCTTATTCTCCGTCATCATCTTCATTTGTGTCTGATCTCCGCCTCTATCATCTGATTTCGAAGCTTCGACGACGTCCTCTGCTTCGCGGTTCCAAACGTGTCTCCGATCTCACTTCGATGATGTCCTCTACTTCGCGGTTTCAAACGTGTCTCCGATCTCACTTCGACGACATCGGCGGTGAGAACTCAGGTTGAAATCATCCATTATTTTCTCAATTTTTTGAGTTTATAATGAAATCTTTGAGTTGTGTCGTGAAGCTGCTGTTGTTTACACTTTGCGATGAAGATCTTGAAGATACAAGGAAGTTGTGCGATGATGCCTTTCATTGTGATGCGGTGCGCGAATTTTATTTGCAGTGACAAAGAGTGAGGAAGATACACTCAAAGATGATAATGAAGATACAGAGTCTTGCAGAAGTTCATTGAAGATTGTTGAACCTTGAAGATGCAGAGAGAGTGTAGAACGTGAGAGGAATTTTCTGTGATATTTTTGGTGATTCTTCTGAACGTGAAGAATGATCTTGAATCTGGTGATTAATCGGTTTACATAGTTTCTGTTAGATCTAAATGTTTGTTAGAAAAAATTGAATTCAGGCCCTTGAATCAGATAGTTAGTTATAAAATCAATGGATATGATTGGAACAAAAAATGAAGTTAGTTATAACTGAATTTTTGTTTATGGTTTTTCTCAATTCATGAATTCTCATGGCTTCCTTGGTTTTCTGTTTTCTTCTTTTGTTTTTCTGTTCTGTTAGAGGTTTGAACAATTCTTCTATTCTTCATTGTTTTCTGATTTTTCTGGTATGAACAAAATGCAGGGCTGGACTGATGGATAATTGATGCAGGTTGAATTATGTTTTGCGGTTAGCTTATTGGTCCAAATGTTGTTGGTATTGACGTAGGAACTGGTTTATGCAGAATTGAAAATGTGGCTTGCCTAATATGATTTTGAAGTCTGGGCATGGAAAGATACTTGAATGAAGGAAGGGTGAAGGCGTATCATGAGGTTTTGCACACGAGGCAGGATTCAAAGATTGGAGGAAACATGAAGGTGTACGGAGAAATGAGATTTGAAAATGTAATTTGATGACATGAAGTTGTAGTTTCCTTGTAATTATCACTTAGAGCTCCGCTTGTAAAAATATGGATGATCTGATCTTGCTTTTCCTATGTATACGAACTGCTAGCATACCTTTGGGTACTTGTCTTTTGAATTATTATGGGATTTTCTACTTGAATTTCAAGAAATGAACCATGAATAGATGCTTGTACTTAAAATCCTGAATTTGATGACATAAATTTGTAGAATTTGAATGATGAATGATGAATGATTTTTTTTTGAATTTTAAAGCCTTGAATAATGAATTTTTGGACTTGGATAAGTGGACTTGAAACTTGCATGACGTATTCCTTTGCAACATTGTAACTAGTACCAAAGCAAACATTGATCCAATCTAGAACTTGAATGAATACCTCAAATTAATCTTCCATTCTCAATGAAGCCCTATATTCAATTCAATTTTCCAATCTTAACCAAAATTTCATGACAAGCAACAAGTATGTGAAAGAATAATGATGCCTTTATTACAATGAATCCATAAAGTCATCTCTTGTACCATGGCTTGTATTTTTCAATCCAATTCCACTATATCTCGACTTGATGAGTAACAAGATAGCCAATGCATTGAATCCTTTGATAAGGGTAGGACTTGGATCGTAGTAGGACACCTTGACATGAGACTCAATGAATCTCAGTTGTTGAACATCAACAAGCTTAAATATGATGAGTAACAAACCCTAGTTCACTTGGCTTTGATAAAACCTGATAATCAAGGTAGCTCGAGATGATGGGGGGAACCAGAACCTTAGCTTACAATTGAATTCTTGATGAAGCATAACAAGTTGAAAACCCTAGCATCCTTCCTAGAACAAGTTAAAACCCTAGCGTCTTTCCATGCTTGTTGAAGAAGCAGCTTGAATCTCTTGGATGAAGACAAGAGCCTCAGAGCCTTAAAGAAACCCTAATTCTTTGAAATATTTGATCACATGCCACATTATGTTGTTAGTGAATGTATGCAATGTTAAATGACCTACTGGAGTTATGTACATGAGAAAAGCGCGACACTGCATAAGCTAGATAAAAGTAAGAGGGTAGGATAAATTTGGGGTATTACAAGGTCAAGCTTGAACTCACACTCCTTTTCAGACTGGATTTCGAATCCTATCGTTTGAGCCAATAGTGGTTCAAGTGGTTTGACTTGCTCCTCTTTTTGGTGGTGGTATTGGTGGTTCTAATGGTGTTATGTTTCTGTTGATGGTGAGCTTGGTGGTCTGAGATCTAGTTTGCCTCGTCTGTTGGGAGTTCTTTGGTTCTTGGGGGTTTTGTTTTGGGTTTTTGGTTGGGTTGGCTCTTGTGGTTGGGTTGGATCAAAGAGTTTGGAAATCAAAATGTGTATTCACACTTCTCGAATATAAGATTGAAGAGGTTGAGTTGAGCAGATTCAAGAAAGCTTATATTGGGACCGTGGATAATCTGGAAATGTCATATAACATTCAAGATATCTATAACACATTCAAATACTTCTCAATTCAAGTAACTCCTTTGGGCACAAATGTATGCTTGCTTGAGGAACGAGAGGAATGCGAAATTAAAGCGTTGGTGGTGGAGGGTAGTGTTACACTAGGATTTTCAGCTAAATAAAGTCAACAAAGAATGTCACAATAAAGGGACATTCAGTGTTAAAACATTAATCAAGTGCTTAAGGACAGTAATGTCAAGTGTTCAGAAGCATTAATGATTCAGCATTGATAGGTCATCGATTGATGTGGCAGTCATTGTTTGGAAGAATCACAAGAGAAGATCCACAAGATTAGGATGACCTTGAAACATGTCCAAAATCTTGAGAAGTACATATGGTTTCATCGACAAAGATATCAGTCGACAAAAGCCACGCAAAAGAATAAAGACTTGGCAGTTAATATTTGCAAGATTCGAACTCAAGACCATGTGTGCTATATACAACAATGGTTGTATTAAATAACTATTGTTGTATGCCTTTTTTAATAAAATATAAAAATACAGTAGTAGAACAACAACATCAAGATTTAAACTCATGACCATGCGCCACTTTTTATCACGGTTGGAACTTCCAACCGTAGTGAAAAGTGACTTAAATATGAAAATAAAAAAAGAACCTAGTTGAATAGATTCTTCCACGGTGGATCCTTTGACTTGGTGACTTGGGTGTTGTTGTTTGTGCGTTTTACATTAGTGTGCGTTTAACCCACTAATAGAAAATACAACTCAAAGTTATTAACAATTGACCCAGCAAATGGATAAAATTGATAATTTGGCGTGCCACCAGCGTCAGCAACCTCAGTTGTAACACCTCAAATTAATTAAATTATTTATTTAATTTCTTAATTAGTTATGATACGTATTTTTGATGTATCTGTGACGTATTAGTGATCTATTTGTGACGTAACTATGATGTTTTAATAATTATGTGATGGTTATATGTGATGTACTGGGAGTTAAGGTGATTAGGAGGATTTTTGGATGATTTAGAATAATTAGAATAATTACTTAGAATTATTTTAATTAATTAAATGGAATAATATTATTAGATAGAGGCCATGAGAGCAAGGTGGTAATTACTGAAGAGTTAAGTGAGGGCATGATGGGAAGTTCATTATTAGGGGTCCTAAGGTTAAAACAAGGAATAAGGAGAATATTTCTTTCAGGGATCAATCGTGAAAATATTGGAAGAACAGACGTTGTGGAGAAAAGAGTTAGGGCACAAGAACACAAAGGGGTTTCCGATAGAACGCGAAGAGAAAGGCTTGCTGATAGGAAATATAAGGTAAGGGGTGTTTATCACTGTTATTTTATTCGATCTAAGGTCTAGATAAAGGTAGGGTGTGTTGGGTTTTGGTGATTTGATGATTGTATTGTAATTGATGAGTTTGTGTTGGAATTTATGAAAATACCTTGTTGAATTACCATGAGTTTATGTATATAATGAAAGGTGAGAAAACAATTAGAAGGAGGGGGGGTTGAATAAGTTTATCTTTTTCTTTTCTTTCAAGGCTTAACAATAATGGAAATACAAGGTTATTTTTATCCTGGTTCGTTTGAACTCAAACTACTCCAGTCCACCCGTCAAGGTGATTTCGCCTTTCTCAACAAGGACTTAATTCACTATAATCAACTGATTACAAACACACAACAACTGTTGTGACTAACAACACACAAGTAATCTTACAAGTGACTAACACCACTAAGACTTAAACTAGTCCTAGTCTACTTGAGAAATCTGACCAAACTTGGTCTCTCAAGGAACAGTTACAAGAGTTTAATCTTTACAGATAGTGAAATAAAGTTTGCTTCTAATAAAGCTATATCACAACTGTGATTTTTCACTTAGAATAATATTGCACAAAGTGTATGAATAATGAAATTTGTGAGCCCATAATTTTTCACGTAGTTCTTGCTTCTTTTTGAAATTGATTGGTTGGTTGGCTTGTAATAAATTTCCTTCTATATATAGTAAGAACAAAATGACTGTTGCTGCCTTCAAAAAGTGGAGAGCATTAAATGCTTGCGTGTTTCCTTGTACTATTCCATTTTCCAATGAACTAGCATAGACACTTGAGTGCATGCAGTCGTCTTTGCATTAAATGAGCAAACGACACTTGTAAAAACTTGTTTCCTGAAGCTTGACAAGACTTGTTAGCTTTTACATTCTTTCAGAGCTTGCTTCACGTCTTGAATTCAGAACATGCTTGCATATCTTCTAAACAACACTTTGCTTGCTAAGTACTTTTGATCAGCGCTTGCTTTCAAATAAATTTCTGAACAACACTTGCTTTCAAGGTACTTTTGAACAAGGAATCTTTCTAAGCATTAGAAGATGCATTTAAATAATTATCTTACCAGAGTCAGCATCAGCAGTTGCGCTAAAACAAATAGTTCTTCCATCAAAGAACTTCTTCATTTATTTTTAGCTCAGCACATCAAAATGCTTCTGTCATAACATTATCTGAAACAATTAAATACATTCATTAGAGTATCAATTATATAAAATATAATTTATTGTTATCATTAAACTCTGAGATATGATCAGAACAAATCTTATTCTAACAATCTCCCCCTTTTTGATGATGACAAAAAACATTCAGATATAGAAATAAAATTGAATAAGAGATAAGAATCTCCCCCTGAAATAAATATTTCTATAGGAAAAAACTTCCTGAGAATATTTATCAGAGCTTTGAAATTTTCTTCTTGGATTTCTTCAGTCACATCTTTTGAAGGTAATGTTCAGCTGAATTAAACTTCCAGAGTTTAAGTGATACCTGCAAAAATTCTTTTGCACATAGAAAGAAATCTTGTATTTTGTTAGAATGTCTGAGACTTAGTCCCATAACTGTTAATCAGAGA